TGGTTGGGGGTCACAGCATCAGGAAGGTTGAGAACCACTGCTGTGACAGCTGTCCTAGGGCCCTTAGGAGAAGTTCCCAGCCACTCTTTTGGAGTATGCTGTAGCCACCTCTGGGGTATGCTGCAAGGAATTTGCTGTTAACAGAAATTCAAATTTAGAACTGAGATTTCTGTTTACATAGCAGCAGCAGCATGCTCCCTAAGAGACCACTGTCTCATATCCTGCATTCTTTAGTAGGAGACCCCACAGGGAATGCAGTGGCTGGAGGATGTTGTGTGAGACTTTTCCTGCGGAGACACAACACACAGTCTACTCGCTCCAAAAGGAATCCATGACAGACTAATGTAAATGGTTCTCCCAACTGCCACCATGGCAAACCAGTGAGTTTTTATTGGGGTTACTAACAGGAGTGTGCAGGAGGAGTTACTACAAGGAGCAGAGACAACTAAACTAGAGTTGTATGACGACTCTTGGTGCTGTCTGTGGGACTGCAGGCATCTCAACAGTTTGAAAATCTACTCTCAGCAACTCCTTGGTTATTACCTACAGATACATTGTTTCCACAACCTTGGGGAGGGGCTCTTAGGAACCCTAACTAATAAGTCTCATTTCTCAGATGTGTGAAGTTTTTGACTTCCCGAGTCTCATGACCTCCCTCTCCTTCCCGAAGGGAATGTTTCATTCATAGAAAATTGCTATACAACCGGTCACTTGATGCCAGCATGAGAGGAAGGGTCCATAGGTCTCACGGTGTGCCTGCAGTTGTCACCAAGACGACGGGTCTAAAGGATGCCTCTGAGTCCTAAGCAGGGACACAAGATTCACTGAGCCCCAGCCCATACCTGTCTCTGTTGCCCTCCTCAGCTCACTTCAGTTCACTTGTTCTCACGCACCCTGGCAATAAAATACCCCGGGGCTCTCATTTGTCAGAGTGCCTCAGCCATAGAACCTTCCAGCACATTAACATTGCTCTCTCTTAGCTCTTTTGACTGTTTTCATTCCTACTTCCTGGATATATTTGAGAACCCACTTTTTTTTTTTTGGTTGGAAAACTGCTTTAATGGAAACTCCCTACAACACACCATCTGGGAAGGGGTGGAATGTGGCCAGGGTTGGCCCTGGAAACAATACTGAGCCTGTAGTTGTAACCAAAATATACATCTGTCATAAAAACAAAACAAAACAAAAAAAAATGGTTGCACCACCTCAGTCATACACAGGTATAAGAATCATAAACATTTACACTCTTGCCACTCCTTCACAGAACCAAGGTCCAGGGAACCCTTCCCACAGAGACAAGCTAGGCACAGAGGTAGGCATTTGGGAGGGGTGTTAAGGCCTAGAGGTCAGCTGCTCACCTAGTCAGAGGCAGGCAGAACACAAACGTTCAGTCAAAATTTGAAGGTAGGAACCCACTGGCCTCAGAGCTGTTTCCCCAGGCAGAGGCAGCACTGGCCTGGGCCCTACCTATAAGCTGGTCATTGGGAAGGAAGGGGCAAGCACAGAGAGACAAAAGCGTAGCATACACACATACCATTGTATCACTACTATAAAAAGTTACTAAAAGCTGTATCTCTTGCATATAAATGGAAAAAGATTGGCACATTCGGCCAAGTAGAAATATTGCTAGGCACCGGTGTCTGCGACTGCCCAAAACAGAACATGAAGGTCACAGGAGGCTGGGCAGCTGAGGAAGCCTGGGGCTGGCCAGGGATAGTGAGAGTCATTGTCACTTGATTCTAAGGGAGGGGCTTGTGACCCCAGCTCCCCCACAGCATAGGGAGCTTGTGGTGCAGGCCACCTGGCTCACCGGCAGGTCTAGAGACAGAGCAGTGGCCTGAGAGGGTGTGTGAGTAGCTGGGACAGCACAAGAAAGTGACTGTGTTCCAGGCACACCGCTGTGACCTCATGCCCGCGCCCTTCGAGCCCTGGTCTTGGGCCTGACCAGGCCTCTGTGGCCCAAACCATTTCTCACCACAGCGAGGTGGGCTTGATTTTACTTCAGGTCTACAGCGTGAGCTCCAGGACAGCCAGGGCTACTCAGAGAAACCCTATCTCGATAAACTAAAACAAATAAACATAAAATCTCTGGTCCGTAAGGTCACTTCAGCTGCTTTCTAAAGTGGCTTTTCTGGAATGGTGGAAGCTGTTGCAGGCCCACCGGCACCTAGATGGTGGGCTTTGGAAAAGACACACTGCAGGTGAGGGCTCCGGCCCAGGCCACGGTTGTGCAGGTCACTGATCAGCTGAGCCGCCTCCTCCCCAGAGCCCATCTTGTGGTCCTTCTGGAATAACCTGAAACCTTTGGCCACTCAGCAGTTGCTGGAGGAGAGGCTCCTGAGGTCATGCTCTGACACAGGTCAGGATATTGAGAGGAGGAGGGTGGCTGGAGGCAGGAAGATGTTCTGGAAGTCCTTGGAGCCAGGCTGCTGGAAACGGTGCAGCGGTGAGTTGTGGTTGACTATTATTTTAAGGTGTGTGACTTTGTTTATGCTGCGTTTGTTTAACTGTGTGAAGCTGTGATTCTTTGCCTGTCTAAAACACCTGGTGGTCCTAATAAAGAACTTAACAGCCAACAGAGAGGCGGGAGCAAGGATAGGCGGGGCTGCCAGGAAGAGATTATAAATAGAAGAAGAAAGGAGAAAGAAGAAACTAGAAAACAAGGAGAGGAGGACGATAGAGGCCAGTCACACAGACACTCAGCCAGCCACGGAATAAGAATGAAAGTAAGATATACAGAAGTAAGAAAAATAAAAGCCCAGAAGGAAAAGGTAGATGGGTTAATCTAAAATAAGAAAAGCTAGCCGGAAACAAGACAAGCTAAGGCCAGATATTCGTAAGTAATAATAAGCCTCTGTGTGTAATTTACTTGGGAGCTGGGTGGCAGGGCCCCTCAAAAAGAGTAAAAACCATCCTACAACCATAGTGAGTTGCCATAGTCTTCGGTCAGGCCCTGGTCCTCCTGTCCCTCACAGGGCAGCTGCACACTCTGATGCTTTGACAGTGTGGTGGACACTGACTCACTCTGCAGCTTGTGCCCATTCAGGTGGCTCATGGCCAGTGGGAACTGGATGCCCTCTGCCATCTGTATAAGTGCAGTCTCCTTATGGAGCAGAAGCTTCCCCCATTCCACATCGCCACATCGCCACAGACCCCGCCACCAAAGAGAACAAAGAGGCACTGGGGTGTGACTCTCTCAGGGCTCAGGTTGCTGACCAGAAGGATGGAATTCCCGGCACCTGCCAGGCCTAGGATGGCAAGGTGGTGGGCACAACGGTAGAAAGTATGGCCGGGGGGGGTCAATGCTTCATGGACATTAGTGACAGAGAGGCCTGAAGGCTGACATTTTGCCAGGTGCACAAAAGACGGCAGTCATGGGTCTGGCCGAGCAAAGGCTGGCTGTCCCCAGAGGGCAGGTAGGGCCAAGTGTAATCTGTGCTCTTGTTGTATTTCACATTGAGACTGGTGAGTCTGGAGAAGCCGATGCCTGGAGTGGAGGCACAGGAATTGAGAACTCATATTTTGACTCTATCACCTATACCCTCTAGTCTACCTATAAACTTCGGTTTGATATTTTCCTAGCAAGGCCTTTCATTAACGTGTATTCATCATTTTAAAAATACTGTTTCCTTATGACATTTTCATATGAGTAGATAATGTACTATGACCTGGATACCCCATTACCTTCTTCTTGTCCCCCTTTCTTGCTCATCTCCTTCCTCTTCTCCAATAGGCCCCCTATAATCCCACACCTGTTATTTTTAATCTAGATTCCACACAGGAGAGAAACACATTTGTCTCTCTGAACATGGACTATTTCACCTAACATATTGACATCCTGTTCCATCATGGCTGAATAAAATGCATATGCATGTCATGTTTTCTTTATCCATTCATCAGCTGATAGGCACATAGGCTGATGTCATAACTTGATTGTTATGAATAATGCTGCAATAATGTGGATGCACAAGTGTCACTATTGTTTGATGACTTTAGGTATATACTCAAGGTCCATCTGTCAATTTCAAGATGCCCTCGGTTATACCCTGTACCCATGAGATTCTCCATGTATACTACTTCTAAGGCGATCTTATCCTGTGTGTGTGTAGAAGGAGAAGGAGGAGGAAGAGAATCCATAGAGGTTAGAAGAGGGTGTTTGATCCTCTGGAGTTACATGGTTGTGCCCTGTTCAACATGGGTATTGGAAGAACAGGAAGTGCTCTTAACCACAGAGCCATCTCTAGCCCCTCCTGTAATGACAAGCCCCAACTGTAAATGTCTACACCTCACTTTTCTCTAGAGATCCACTTGTATGGCAGCCCCAAACTATGTGAGCCCAGATAGGTTGACTTTGAGGTTGGCTGAATGTGGAGAGGAAACACCAGAATTTGAAGACATAATACAAGAAGATGTATAACACCTAACTATTTCATATTAACTGTATGCTGAAATTAAAATGTTTGAAAATGTGCCATTAAATTAACTATGCTTTAGAACTGTTTTTATATGTCTTCCTTTTATCTGCTTGATGTGGCTTCTTGTGAATTTTAAAGTTTTATGTGAGTTCCATGCTGTGTTTACATGGGCAGTAGGATCCAGAGAACCACTCTGAACTCAGAGAGACCTCACTCTCAGTAGGATCAGATATAGCTGTCACCCTTCCCTTTATCTAATCAAGTACAAATGTTTGTCTCTCTCTTATTTTTCCACCACAGTTCCCCTGGTTGCTTGGCCACAAGCTGAAGAAAGAAATCATGAGTTATCTTTTGCCTCTATGACCCACAGGGAACTCATTTGCAAGGCCTAGTGGTTCTTCCTCTGAAATATGCCTTGGCTGTGCACATTTGCTGTGACTTTTCCTAGGGAGTCATGAATAATCATCTATTCACTACAGATAGGGAACTGACCACAGACCAAGGAAACGACTCCATTCAAGTTTATCTTAGTGAACCAGTTAGCCTGTGGTGTTACTTACAGTAGCATAGGTGGGAGTTACTTACAGGAGAGTGGTTGGTTCAAACGCAAATGAATCACTGAAAATCCCACCCCATCTGGATGACAACTCATGAAAGGTGCAACACTGGAGCTCCCTGCACAACCTGTAGATAGACAAAGCAATCAGAGTCTCTTCTCTCCAGGAATTGTTACTGTTTACATAAGCCTGGGTGGGGGGACACTGAATCTTACAAATTTCAGGATCTTCCTAAATCCTGTAAGTTTGCCTTGCTGCCTGGGCCTTGAATGTTTCATTTACTTCCTGAAATGTATGCACCTCTTTCCCTACTCATGAGATGTTTCCATTGAGAGTTAATAACTATACAATAACACCCTTTTCTCATTCTGTCAAACTGATTCTAGGCACCATCATCTTCACTGTACATGACAGAACACAACACATTGGTCTTCCTTGGTCTCCCTTGACCCTACCACACATCAGCTACCTAGCAGCAAAAAAAATATTTGCCAGTTATAAATAAGGTCAACTCTAACAAAAATTTAACACCTCAAGCTGCACTTAAAATCCAAGTCCTGATTAGAGCATACAAGGCCTTACCGCAGTTTTCATAGCGTGACTCCTGTTCACCCCTCTACCTTCATGTCCTACTTTCTCCCTGTTACCAGAATTTGTCACAGCAACTTAAAACTCACTCTACTCTGTGGCCTTCGTACTTCTGTTCCCTCTGTTTGAAATGAGCTTTTCATGTCTCCTCAGAGTGGCATGACACATTATAGAGGGTCTCCTGGATGTCCCATGTAAAACAGAGGCACCCTGAGGCTGTCAATCATAGCTTCCCATTCTTCCCTTCCTTACTAGTCATTATCATCTAGAAGTTTGTCTGAATATTTGTTATTAACAGTCTTAAAACTCTAACATTCACTATGAAACACCGGTGCATGTTATTTTTCCCATGGTATTTTCCATCATCCTAGCTGACATAGGCACCCGTGTGGACGGCCCCATAGAAAGACTCCCAGTGGTTTTTCCAGTGTTGAGGAGGGTATCCAGGGCTCTGTGCATGCTGAGCAAGTGCTTCTCCACTGAACTAGTGTCAGATCATTTTCTTTATTTCAATATAGGGGCTTTAACACATGCCCCTGCCTGGGCCTCCCAAGTAGCTTGGATTATAGGCCCATGTCATCATGCCAAGCTTTAATTTATATCTTTTCTATTTCTTTTCATTCTCTCTCTCTCTCTCTCTCTCTCTCTCTCTCTCTCTCTCTCTCTCTCTCTCTCTCTCTCTCTCTCTCTCCCCACTCTCTGTCTCTGAGAGAAACAATGAACACTAAAGTTGACTTTCATTTTAGTTCATTTAAGTCATCACAAAGAGATGCATGTAAGGGTACTTGGAGAATTCACATTGAATCCAATTCATGTACTGATAGCTCACAGCAACTGCAGTTCTCCCAGATCATTGGTAGCTTCAAGGCACTCTGTCTCAGAGTTTCGTGGAGATTGGAGTAAATGCCATTCTGTATCTTTGGTTGTCAGTGGTCTCTTTCTTTATGATGGCCCAGGATGTGCATGCAGAGGTGGTTAAAAGACAGACCAAGTATGCAGACGGAGCCCTGTCTGTGTTCTTGACACTCTCATCTTCTGGTCCACACTGAATGAGATCAACAGTATTCCTACCCTTAAAGTTCAGGAAGTAACTCTCTTTCCCCATAATGAATTATCCTTCTTGTCAACCCAGGCCCTTGACAGATGCTCTTTGTATCAAAAATCCTTCCTACCCCAGGTGGAAGAGGCCAGACAGCCTCTGCTTCCCATGCCATGCTGATCAAGGGCTAAGGTTTACAAAATGTGGCCTCTTTATAGCATGGTCCTAGAATGAGAAAATGAAAAGTAGAAGGCTGGGTTCAGTCAGTAATGTGCTTGCCTTGCAATCATGAGGACCTAAGTTCAATCTTCTAAACCCTCCATTTAAAAGGCTTGGTATGTAGTGCATACTTCAAATCCCAGCACAGGGGAGGCAGCTACAGGGGGATCCCAGGGCTGAGTGAACAGTCATTGTAGCTTACTTGGTAAGCTACAGGCCTAGACACAGACCTTGTATTTAAAAAAAAAGAATTGTGAGTGACCCTGAAGAATGACAGCTGATATTATCCTCTGTCCTCCATGCAGGCATGAATGAATATATTTAAACATTCATGTGTACCTGCATGCATGCATACACACACACACACACACACACACACAAGGGGGCAGACAAACAGACAAAGACAGACAGAGACACAGAGAAAGAAAATTCATCCCTCTTTGCAAAAATACTGGTTCCCAACATAACTTTGGAATGGGCACCCACATCCTCCTTCGGTTGCCCAATGCTATGTTCTAGAAATAATTTTCTTGTGTCTTTGGGGACATTGACATGAAAAATTCATGTATAGTTTAGTTTATGCAGCAAGCAGCTTCCTAAAAACTGTGTGTGAATCACATTTTTTTAAAATTGAGTCCCATTTCCCTACTGACTGTGGCTATCTGCTCATAGTCGTTTTCCCTTCCTCCATGATTTATCTCCAATTGGCAGCAGCAAACTATAACCCTAGCTTCACAGCTCCATCCATCCCAAGAGGATCATCAATCAATCATCAGAATTTCCATTCAGAGCCTATTATGTGTAAGACATTGTTGATGATCTGTAAAGAGAATAGAGAATACACCAAAGGCACCAGAGGAAACTGCTATCTGAATCCTCTACAAAATCATGTGAATACCCAGACTCTTACTTATCTCATGTGTAAATTCAGATTTTCCTCTATCAGGTTTTTCCCAAAGAGGTATCTGAGTGTGCCGAGCAGGCTATCTGTGTTACCATAGAAATGGAAAGGCATAAAAGGATATTTAGAAATGTAAGGACATCTATAAATCCCCACTAACAGCAATTGTGATTGTTGGGAGCAAAGATTGAAACTATCCGTGGTATGTTCTGAGTTGGGGGGAAGGCTCAAATGACACACCAATCTGCAGCTCCAGGCAAAACAAGAGCAAGCTAAGAAAAGTTAATAATGTCCTGTAAAAACAAGTCTGTAAGGACAACTTAATTTTCTTTTGTGACAGGAACTGGATTCATATCACGGAAAGACCTCCAAGTCAACCTCCAATATCTCAAAGTTGTGAATTTCTTCCGGCCCTATCCTGGTGTTATCTGTGGCATCAAACTGGCTGTGTGACCTACTTCTGCAGTAGTTACCCAGCTTCAGAAGGAAGTATTTGGAATTTGTTAGCTACACATTGTCATCTGGACACCCAGAGGGCTCTGGGCATCTCATAGAAGACTAAGTAAGAAAGGTTAATATTTGGACACAGCAAAAATGGCACACTTGGGATTTGTTGTGTGTTTTCAAACACCAGAAATGGACTCGTGCTACCTCAACAAGGACAAGAGAATGGGGTCTGCAATGAAAAATATCTGAGATTTTAATCTGTGGAGTTCAAGAGCAACGAAAAGAAGGTTAGAGATGGCAGGGAGGATTTCTTCTGGACTCCGGGTCATAGCAGTCTCTTAGCTGCCTCTCCCTTGGTACATCTGCACTACCTCAGATGCCTGCCCTTCCTGCTGCCCAGCACATGAACATCAAGAGCCTGCAAGTCCTCTTTTTAGGCTCAAGCTACCCGGAGAGATGCCGACTCTCTCTTGGTCCAATTCCAAACTCCTGGGAAAATGTGAGCTTTAGCACAGTATGCCACAGATGGCTGCTATTTATCCAGTAATTAGTGGAGGCTGGGGGTGGATGTCTTCCTCATCAGCTTAAAGTGTCATTGCAAAACGCCGTCAATTGCATAAGTTAAAAAGCAGGCACTTAGAAATGTTACCAGAAAGGTATGTGAAGGATGAGAACCCTCCTCACTTCTTCCATGTGTCCCCACATGGCCTCTCCGTGCATGTAAGTAGAGAAAGGGAGGGCAAACCCTCTGATATCCTATTATGCTATCATCGAGATGCCTCAGCTAAACCTACTGATAAGCAGGAAAACAGCCAGGAACCAGGGACTGGATCCAAACTGCTCCCTAATAGAGACAGTATTAGTGGATGAAGTAGTGCCACCTGGATTTAATAGTGGCTCCCAATAAATTATGCTCAAGTTATAATTTCAGTATCTGTACATATGACTTTATTGGAAACAGGTCTTTATAGATTAATTAAGGGTGTCTAGAAAAGGTCAAACTAGAGTTAGGCTGAATCTAGAATTCAAAGGCTGGTATACCCATGAAAGAAAGAAGTGGGTGGTGAGGACATGCCTCAGCAGATGGTTTTACCTTGCAAGCATGAATACCTGATTCTAAGCCTCAGAATCCACATTTAAAAATAGCTTGACCTTGTGGCACCATCATAAAATCCTGAACTGAGGAGACAGAAACAGGCAGATTCCCCATGGTCTATTGGTCAACCAGTCCTATCTGGTTCTCAAGCCAATAAGAAGCCCACTGTCAAAAATAAACTGGCCAGCATGTGACCGTCAATATTATCCTCCAGCCTTTACAAACACACACACACACACACACACACAGTGGGGAGGGGAGGAGAAGAAGGGAGGGGATGGGAGGGATGGCACACAGAGCACAGAAGGGAGCAGGACACATCAGGATCTGTATGGAGATCAATGTCACTCGGCTACAAAGCAGCCAAGGCCTGCCCCGGGCTCCTGAAGCCAGGAGAAATAGGAAACAGCCTTCCTTCAGAGCCTCCAGAACAAAGCAGTGCTGTAGATACCTTGATCTGAGATTTATCCAAATAAATTCCTGTTGTTTGAAGTCACTTGTCACGTGGTCATACATGATGGCAGCCTGGGAAAACAATAGAGATGGTGACTGATTCCGCCTCAGAGTCAAGATCCATAGAGAAACGTGCTGCCATCAATTGGTGATGTCTGCTGTGGACATAAATGTAGATGGCAACAAACTAGTCATGTGCTTCTCTATGTAGCCCAGTATTCTCACAATGCTCAGTACTAAAATACATGAAAACTAGGCATGGTGGCACACACTCAAAAGGCTGAGGCAGATGGATCACAAGTTCAAGGCTTAACTGAACTGCATAAGAAGTTTCAGGCGAGTATGGGCTTTATAGTGAAACTTGACCTAAAGAGAAAAGGGAAAAAATCAAAGATGGATACTAAGGGAACCTGTCCCTAGCAACCTTAAAGTCTCAAACCCATCAACTCAACATTCCTAACATGGTCTACTTAATCACTCTTCTGAATAAAGATAAGCTTAATTACAGTTACTCTTTGTCTTTAACCTATCTTTGAGGATGGTAACCAATATTATCCTCTAACCTACATACACACACACACACACACACACACACACACACACACACACACACTACAGAAAGGAGAGAGATAACCCTGACACACACAACACAGAGGAAGTAGGCCAGGACAGAGGTGTCAGAAAGAAATGGTAACCAAAGCAAAACAAAAACATGCAGGAAAGAAGAGTAATATGGGGGCTGGAGAGATGGCCCTGCTGCTTTTGCAGAAGCACCCAGCTTCAGGTCCCAGCATCCACATGTGACTCACAGTCATTCAGTTCCATGGGATCTGATGCCCTCTTTTGGCTCATATGGGCACTGCACATGGAGCACAGATACACATGCAGGCAAAACAAAAGACATACACATAAAATTAATTAATTAAACCTTTTCTAAAAACAAGAAAAAGAGTACTACAGGGTGGGAACCAGTCCAGAGATTCTATTTGCCACCAAATTCAACAGTACTAAAGGAAAAATAAATAAATCAGTAGCCTTTATTGAATGTAAGTATATGGGTTTCTTTTGCATGTGATTTGTGTACATGTTTATTTTCATGTGTGTGTGTGTGTGAGAGAGAGAGAGAGAGAGAGAGAGACAGAGAGGCAGAGAGACAGAGAAAGACAGAGAGAGACAGATAGAAACAGAGAGAAAGAGAGCGACAGAGAGTATGCTTGTGGAGGTCAGAGGCCAATGTCAAGGGTTTGCCTCAATTATTCTCTACTGTTTGTTTTGTTTGGTTTTAAGCTTGAGGACCGCTTATTAGAATTTAAAAGGAAAACTCTAGGGCAGTCAAGCTACAAACCTCTCAACCTTGAACACAGCTGTTATACATATACACAATACGAATATATGCATAGATATATGCATATACATCATATACACATATACATATACATAATATGTATCATAAACATATGTGTGTATACACATGTGCATATACATATATCATACACATGTACATCATATACAGTAGCCAATGAGCTGGGGGGAGAATTGTTTTTTCCTCTCCCTGCAACTTCAAAAACCCATGCCTGTAACATTCTTTTTCTAGAAGCAGCACTGTAAGAAAATCCAGCACCGTCTATTTCTCCTTCCCTTTATTCATTCTCTCACCATGAGAGTTCTAAAACTCACTCATTCAGGTGCCACCATCCCTATCCTTTCTTTATTAGTCAACTTAGACTACAGGGTTCAGGATCTTTAACAATGTCTTTGTTCATAACTTAAACTCTCTGAGCCATCGTTTTGTTTTCTCTTTACCCCATCCAGAAAAATCTCAACCCTTGGAAAGCTCAGCCAGGTGCCTTCTCCACTCCTCTGTCCAAGTAGAAAAGGACAACCCAGGCACCTGGTTTGTTTTGATCCATACCTTCAAGGCTCCCACCTTTGCCAAGAAATCCCAAACCACTATTCTATGGTAGTTGTTTCCCCCAAGTGTTACTTTTCCCTTGCTCTGTCTCTGCCATGACCACACTCCACGCTCATCAGATGATCTTGCCTCCTACATCGGAGAGAAAACAGATGCTCCCAGACAAGAAATACCCACAACCAAACCCACGCACCCTGCTGCAATGGAGCCCATCCATCTCATCCTGATTCACTCCCACATGGTATGGGAGCTAACACAACTCTCTCTCCATCTGCTCTTTGGGTCTCACCCACACAAGCTCTTTCCATCATTTTTCCTCATTTTTCTTTTGAAGTTCATGACCATGACCCAGCTCTGGCTTGAAGCATCTACCCACTTCCAGCTGAGCCTGCCTAGCCATGAACCTCATCCATGCCCTTTTCTATCAAGAAAGAGTGACTTTCCTTTACCTTCTGGTAGTCCTCAGGTCCCAGGATCTGAGTCTGACACAAATCATTCCACGTCAACAGCCTTTGCTGGCTCTTTGATGGCATTCCCTGGGTACTTTTTCCATAGTGGATCTTTTCATATACTGGATTCTGGCCTTTCTTCCTTCCTTTGGTTTTTAAGATCACACAATCCTGGCTTTGCTTTTCCTAAACACAAATCTAGTCACATACCCAATTCAGTAAAATATCTAACAAAAGTCTCTTAAGAAACAGAATATTTACTTTCTTGGCTTGCAGTCCAAGGGTGCTGTCCTTCATGGTAGGAAAGGCATGTTGTCAGGAGCTGGAGGCATCTTGATGTATTGTATCCATAGTTAGGAAACAGGAAGATGAATCCTAGATTTCCCTTTTTGATTTAGTCTAGGACACCAGCCTATGAATTATGATGTCACTAGTTAGTGAACTATATCGCTTTAATTAACCTAATCTAGAAAATTCCTCACAGACATACCAGAGGTTTGCTTCCATGGGATTTTAAATCCTATCAAGCTGACAATCAAAACTAACCTTCATGTATATCCACCTCTCTCCTCCTCTTTATCCCAAGATTAGAAGGAGGTATTCATTTTCTTTCTGTGAGCTACTACATAGGACACAGCTTATTTTACTTGTAATTAGCACCTCACACGGGCAATGAGCATGTACAGAACTTGTGAGGCTCTCAAAGCCAGACCCATGCCTTGTTCATTTCTGTAGACCTCAATGGTACCTAGGTAAGATTTGTATAAATAAATAAATTCAACTAGATTAGACTTAAAACATCTTTTATTTATGATTATTTTATAATGTGTGTGCATGTGTGTTTACGATGCATGTGTAAGTATATACAAGTACACATATTTCATGGTAAGTTATGAAAATCTGAGAACAACTTTTGGAGTCCGCTGTCTCCTTCCATCTTGTTAAGTCAGGGATTCATTTGTTTGTTTCTGCTATACCAAATGCACCTATGCTAGCTAGCCACCAAGGTCCCAGGCATTCTCCTTTCTCCATCCCATCTCACTATGAAAGCACTGGGATTTCAGAAAAACACCACCACATCTGGCTTATTGGTTGAATGGTTGGCTCGCTGACTGACTGTCTGGTTGTTTGTTTGTTTGGTTGGTTGGTTGGTTGGTTAATTGGTGAGTTGGTTGGTTGGTTGGTTGGCTGACTGGCTGGTTGGTTGGTTGGGTAATTGGTGGGTTGATTGGTTGGTTGGCTGGATGGTTGTTGGTTGGCTGGTTTTCTGTTTAGTTGATTGGTGGATGGGATGGTTGGTTGGTGGGTGGGTGGGCTGGCTGCCTGGCTGCTTGGCTGGTCGGTTGACTAGTTAGCTGATTGGTTGGTTGGCTGGTTGTTTGTTTGTTTTAACATGAGTTCCAGGGATCAAACTGGAGATGTAAGACTTACGTAGCAAGGCACTTTTATTTACTGAAGCATCTTACCAATTTAAGGCCATTCATTTCAACAGTCCAATACTTGGAGGTTCTGGTGTCTCCTTAAATGACAAGCTGTCCTCACTACTCAGTGTAGGAAATAAAAGTTGACATGTGGCCAAGCTGCTAACTGTGGCTAAGTATGCCCTGTGATACTGCAGACACAGAATCCATGGCAGAAAAGACTGGCATACAGGAATGGATGAAGATGGCTTAGGGAGATCGGGTAGTCAGTGACATGAAAACAAGATGATCTGAGTTCAGTCTCCAGAACCCACATAAAAATAGCCACTGGAAGCATGTGCTTATAAACCCAGACAAGGAGAAGTGGAGACAGGTGGATCTCTGGAACTTGCTGGTCAAACAGCTGAACCTAATTAGAGAGCTTTAGGGTGCAACACAAGACTCCCAAAACACAAAGTGATGACGTCCGAGGTTGATCTCTGATGTAAACACACACACACATACATGCATGCACACACACACACACACACACACACACCAGTGTAGATAACAGAAGGTAGCTGGGGTGGGGCGGATGAACCCTCCAGACTGCAGAGGACGAGGCAAGAGAATGGAAGTTTTTATTGTGCTAGTAGTGTGTGCTCCCCCTGGGATCCTCAGCCCTTCCTCCTTTCCTCTAATTACTTTTAGGAGCCACCCAGAACATGAACACTTCTCCTTGGCAGCAGATGGCAGCAGTAATAAGCCACAGTGGCATGCTAAACACTGACAGGTGGCACAGAAATGGGCTCCTCTCTCCCATTAAAAAGACAACCAGTCTCAGAGATGCAGCAAATGGATGGAAACTGCACAGAAACATGTCTTTTTCAATGAGGTACAAATCTTCCAATGTGACTTCCAATAACTTCAGCGGCAACCCTGGAGACACACTTCTACCACGAAGAATTTCCATGAACCTGCCCTTAGGTTTCATTGAATCACTAGCTTAGCTTCTAATCCCAGACCCATTGATGTCAGTTCCATGGAGGTCAGAGAGCTACAGATGGTTCATCCACCCTGGGTGACACCTCCATAATTGGCTCCCATCCTCAGCACACCTGTCTTTGAACTTCCACAGTATTCTAACAACCTATAAACATCTGTGCATCCCACCAATACCCCATGATCCATGAACTTTGTGAAGAAGAGCTCCATATCTTTCTCAATGCCGATGTCCAGTAAAATGTCTGGAACCCTATAGGAGGTTTGCAGAATGGAAAGAGCAAGCCTTAAAAATGCTTGGATTTGAGC